TTTCTGTGCTTGCAGAATCATTTATTTCCATCCAGAGAAATTTAGTCAGGTTATTTATGTTTAATATACACCATTTATGCCAAAGGGGCCAAAATACGACTTCTAGATTTAGACTACAAAATGAAGCATACTGAAGGCACATCTAAGCCATTAATGATAGCATCATCTCCTCCCCTCACATGCATAAAGCACCATTATAAATCATTTTTGTAATTAATATATATAAACTTTTTTTCCACTAAACCAAATATAGCTATAATATTTGTTTCATATTTTAACAGAGGAATTTCTTTTTGTTAATTAATATAAAAGATGTGATCCAAATAACTACTTTTGGCATGTCTACAAATAAATTATCCTTTTGAGCAGAAGACCCTCTCTCCTGCCAAATATTTATTTCAAACTGTTTTAGGAAGTTTCCTTAGTTTCAAAGTAAGTTTATTGAATAGCATATTGCAAGACCTTTTGGGCATGGCATCAGCTTCCATTGGTAGTTTCAGTCTTATGAACAGACTAGTCATGCATTAAGAATTATATATCGGTTAGTTGGCCCAGCCATCACTCCTCTGTAATTTGTTATATCTCCTTAGTTTATTAGGAGAACTAAGGCAAAAATGTAAGCAATAAGAGTCAGGAGATAGACTTTGTTTACCTTTTCCTATTATTCATGGGATCCATCAGAAATACATACCACTTTAAAATTAGTATATTCAAGAATGTCAAGATTGTTTCTCATAGAAACAAAATTACACCCCTTTATACTGTCTCAAACATTTAAAAATGTGTGCTATCAATGTACATATAGAAGTCATATAAGTGGCATTTCATAACTCTTCCTTTATTATACTATTCCCACTGCATATCTTCAATAGCAGCATTTTCATCATGGTTTTTGTTTGTTTGAGCTGATACCACTGGAAGCAGTCTCACATAATGCCATCAAAGCTTGCAGAAATGCTAAGAAATATCAGTACACACTAATATCAGCACACCACCAATAGACATCAAACAAAAAACCAGTCTATCTGAAGACATAGCTACACTTCCTTTTTGTGTTTTTTTCTACTGCTTACCACAAAGGCAACAATAATTCATTCAATAATGTGTAGATACAGTGATATATTAGCAAGTCGATCCATAGAAAACTGGAAGCGTATCCTTAGGGATATACAGGAAATAATGTTTTTAGTCCACCAGAACTACCAACCCATCCCACCAAGAATGGCTCATTTGTCTGGATTCATATGTCTATGAAATCATTCACTTTTACATTCCCTGAACCCCTGAGCTTCAATTATCTGAGCTTTCTCTTGACCTGCAGTATCACCATCACTTGTTTCCTACTGGGAGAAAGTCACTCAGCCCTCCACTGTTTTGCATCACTGCCTCTGTGTAAAGTCCTCCAACCCATTCAGGATGGTGGTACCCAACCAAATGTTCCCTGTCCTTGTTCTCCCCCCTTCCCCCCCTTCCTCCTTGTAACAGGGGGAAATAGGAAGATAGCTGCTGCCACGGCCACCACCACCAAAGCACTGGGGGCATCACGATCTGCCCCCCCCCTTATTTAGGTAAGGACAGTGCCATGCTTGCGGAGAAAGGGGGCACATCTCCACCAACCCCTCCCTGATAACCAGGCAGGAGAAGGCTAATTGGTATGGCTGGCTCCATCGCCCATCACTAGGGATGACTCAACCTGCCTTCCCTTCAGCCCAGCCTGGTGAGCAGCTTGAGCGGGCCGGGCTGCGACCGCTTGGGGTGAGGAGGCGACGCCCGGCTGCGTCCCCCCCCCCCCGGCCAATGGAAGTACGCTCCGGGCGGCCCCCTCCTCCTTTTATTTGTCCCTCACAGCACCCACCATAGCTGGCAGCTCGCTGCTCCCCGTCCCTACCGGGCCGACGCCAGTGTCTCCACAAGCGCAGAGCAGGGCGCTGAGAAAGGGCAGCAGGCGACGGCACCCCCAGGCTGGGGCTCCGCAGCATCCTCGCTGCCTCCGCTCCATAGCGGGGCCCATCCCTGCACCTGCTCAGGCAGGGAGAGCAGGGCCCGGGCGACCGCGCATGCGCTTCGGCCAGAGAGGTGGGATGAGGATGCGATGCGGCTCAACCCCGCTCAGTTCTTTGAGGTAATAACAAAAAGTCTTTAAGGGCGGGGGGAGCTGGGGTGGCGAAAGAGAGGGAGCTAAGCCAACTGGAGTTGGGGAAGGAATTACGGAAGAAGGCTGGATGGGTGCGGGCAGATCTCAGCAGCAACAGCGGAAAGCGTTAGCAACAGCACCGGCTGACGGGAGTGCTGTACGTGAAAAGTTAGCTTGGATATGCGGACTGCAACGGCCAGGAAACCATTTAGAAGTTGCTGTTAAAAGTACGGGTGGCAATACGCAGTTTTCGAATTAATTAAATTGAAACAATCTTCCGTTGCAATCCGGTGAGTTGTACAGGCAAACTTAAACAACAGCTCAGTCCTCCGCAGACGTCCTCAAGAGAAGGACGTGGCAGGGCTTCCTATCAAGTCTGCCTGCTTGAGGCTTCAGCCTCAGCCTAAAACCCATTACCAGCGTTTTCAGTACTTTGATATTATTAAGGAAATTCTTTTTTCTCCCCCAAATGACCCTAATTATGACAACAATAATGAAGATAGCAGAGCCATTGAAATAAGTTCAGTTGTGAAAACTTGCCCCTTTGGTTGTAGGAAATGAGAAGCTAAATCTAATCCAGAACTTTATTACTTTATTCCTCTGAGATGGCATAGCCGATTGCGAAGATACTTGCTTTTTTGTAACTTTGTATTGTGCATGCAGCAAGTAAAAGCCCCTAGCCAATCTTGGCTGATTTTGAAAAAGCTAGACAGGGTCAAGCCTGATTTGTACTTAGAAGACCTTAGGAGAACACCAGGAAATCTTAGGGCTGTAGGCTAGAAGGGAAATGGAAAAATATAGAAGGGAATGGCAAACCCATTATTATATTATTGCCACAACTACCTGATTATTTCCATATAATCACTAAGAGCAGAGCTTCATTTGGGAGAGTTTTTTTTCCCCCCTGAAAAGCAGGTGATTCAGTTTTACATGGATGGTTTCTTGTAAAGGTGATTATGTGCCATTGAGCTGGTGTCTCTTAGCAAACACAGATAAACCTTCTCCCCAAAATATCTGTCTCCAACCTGGTCCTTCGAATACTCCAATGGCACATCCATCACCACTTTAAATGGAGTCCATCCACCTTGCTGCTGGTCATCTTCTTCTCTTTCTTGTCACCTTGCTCAGTATTATTGACTTCTCCAGAGAGCTCCTGCTTCTTCAAATTTCAACATTCACTGCCATAGAGTGTCACAGGGAATACCATGGTTTGCACAGTTCTGGTCTTAGTTGGTAGAGATACATCATGGCATCTGAATATCTTTTCCAAGGTTTTCATTGCTATCCTACCAAATGCTAGTCTGTGGCTAGTCTGCTGATTCCTTTACTATTAAGAGTCAATCCTAAAAGGCAGCAGCTACTTCTGCCACTTCAATATCTTCACTGTCAATTCCAAGGTTGTTGCTGTACCTGTTGTCATTAGTTTCGTCTTCTTTATATTTAACCTTAGTCCCATTTGTACACTGTGCTCCACTTCCAGTTCATTTGCATTTTCAGCTATCGAGTAGTGTCAACAGCGTAGCGCAGGTTATTGATGTTTCTTCCTCCAGTTTTAGAACCATGCTTATTTTTTTTGAAAAACCTTCCTCAATATATATTCAGCATATTGGTTGAATAAATAAGGAGAGAGTATTTAGCCTTGTGTAGATGTGATAGGTGTTCATAACTCATTTATTCAAGCATAAAATGTTGAAGGGTTGTGAATACAAATTTTCTTGGCACAGAAGTTATCCTGTAACTTAACCTACAAAGGCTGACACAGTATTATGGCACCCTAAAGAGTGTACATGTATTACAGCATGAGCTTTCATGGAATAAAATCCACATCATCTGATACTTAATAATGGAAAAATAGCAACTCAGGAATTACGTTTTTAACAGTCTAAATGTGAGAGAAAGATTTTATCATGGATATATCAAATGCCTGTGATAGACACCTTAAATGTTATAAAGATTTTTAAGGAGACTGAATAAAGTAAATTCAGGAGCATTTTCTACAAGTAATCCAAAAGTCTTTTTCATAAATTATTAGTCCCCTTCCTTATTAGTATAGGGTTTAGATAACAACTGCATGTAAAAGCAGCCCAGTCATAATTTTAAAGAAAAACTAAGTGTAGCGACTATAGTTGGTATGCAAAATTATGGGCCAACTTTTCTTTAAAAGATTTTATTTAATTTTGGACCTGATAAATGTCATAATACCTCTAAACAAATAATAAAGCAGGATTTTAGGGGAAGATATAGTTGAAGCAGCTATTTAATGGGTCTTTAGAATGTTTTGTTGAATTTGCATTTAACAAAAAGATGAATATGCTAGCCTGAATGTTGAATCATTTGGATTTGGGGTTTTTAAAACTGTTTTTAGATATTGGGTTTAATTTTAGATTTTTAAAATACTTTAAAAGTATTTTACTTTAAAAGTACTTAAAACAACCTGCATGTTTAAAGTAATGCTGGTTACTACTAGTACATTTCAATGCCTTCTTATCAGCCTGTTAGCTTGCAGGCATTTCTTCTTAATATATTACACCTAACTGGGAGATATTAATATTTATGTGAACTGAGATTACAATTTCTAATCATGAAGGTGACATTTGTGCCACGGTCAATGGATTCGGTGTTAAGGCAAATCCTATCTAAATGGAATTCCAAGAATGTCAGACTTCCAAATTGATAATACCTACAGTCTTCGATGGACAAAGCTCCAGCTATCTGCCTTTTTAGAAGATTAATTTATAGCATGGGAATTCCTTTCCTTCCTCAATCAATAAGCCAGATATTGTACTAAATTGCTTATAGGTGAAAATGATATGATTTCCACATTTTGCAAAGTAAGTCTTATGGATTGGATTAGAGAAGCACTTACAGTTCCTCTTAGGTGGGGGAGAAAGGCCATCTCTGCAATTCATCCTTGCAGCTCTGTCTGCCCATGAAAAGTGACTGTGGAGGAGTCAGGAACTTGCTGCAGCAATGTGAGAGGTGGTGCAGAAAGCTGCAGGGGTGATCAGCAAGGATTGTGTTCTTGCCCCTCCCTCCTCTAGGAAGTTGGCCAGTATTAATCCAACCAGTTTGTAAAATAAAGGCACGTGTTTGTGTTATTGAAGAAATCTGCAACCACAAGACTCACAAACAGTTTTAGAAAAACTAAGCCCATGATTCCCAATATATTTTGGAGATATCATGGACAACAAAAAGCAGAGACTTTTTCATCATGATGAAATAAAATCTTTAAGAATTTGAACTTGAAATAAAAGCTTTAAAAATATAACAGTGTATGTCTGAAGATTAGGAACCCAGACTAAAAGTTAGGTTTTTGTATCTTATTTATCATACGTCATTCTAACTTGACTAATTTTTCCATTATTGGCCCTCTTATCCACCTTCTTACACCAATTATAGCATGTAATTACTTGGGTGGATTTAGTTATTACACTTCTCTCCCACTTTCCTATGGCAGCTTTGAGCAGGTTATAAGCCTCCCCTTGTCAAATTCTCACAAGGATCTTAAGATAGGTTGGGGTGAGAGAGAGTGATAGGGCCAGAGGCACCCAAAAATTTCCATGGTCAAGTCCCCCACAGTCCCAGCCAGACTCCTTGTGCTATACTATCTGTTATTTTCAGTAAATTGGGCATTTCATCAGTTTTCTGTAAACATCAGAATAGGCTTTTTAAAAAAAATAAATTAGGATCATTGTTTTGGACATTATGGTTTGGATTGTTAAATTGTTGTTTTAAACTTACATACTACCTGTTAAGTCACTGTTGTGAGATGGGTGGCCGTATAAATAAATCGAGCTAGCTTTTCTAACGCGTCCAGGAAATGTTGCAGGTAGCTCCATTAATACAATATTCTAAACACCTAGTTTTATCTTGTAAAGAATGCAAATATAATTTAATGAAGTAGAGCATACACACACAAACCCATCCACTATTTATATAAAGGCTAGTCATGCCGACATATCAACTCATGTTAACTGTCCATCACTGAACCTTGCTGACCTACAAGCTAGAAGTTATCTATGGGAGGCTTTTATGCAGAAATTCTACCTCTCCTATATCAACCATCCCTAAAAGATGCCTTCTAGATGTGTTGAGATGCCATTTCCTGGAGTATCCAGCTTGTGGCCCAACATACAACATGGGAACCTCCAAGTAGCAGTTACCTAGATACAAGATCCTCCAAATGGAGCCCAGGAGCTCCACAGACAGCTCCACTGGTGCTTCCTACTCCATCTGATCTTTTACATTAAAAATCCCTTTAATTTTTTTTTTTTTAAAGGAAGATGGCATATTGCAAATCAAATTGGCAATGGCCAGCAGTTTTTATTTTCAGTGATGTCCTGGGTCCTAAAAGCATGTTGGCAGACTGCAGCATAGTACTGTGTGGAAATCCTTCCTCCTGCTCAGAAAAAAAACAGAATACATAAGGAGTATAAGGAATTTCATTTAAAATATGTAACACTAGTGCCATTATGGCAAAAATCCACATTCTACCAGATCTTGAGCTGCTCCCACTGTTATAGAATATGGGATATTATATTCCAGGGTCAAATAGTCTTCAGTAATGTTAATTTTTTGATAAAATTCATGGAAAGCAGTCACATTAAACAGTTTAGCAGCATCTGATTAAAGGGATAGGGGAGGAAAGTTGCCAGTTCCTCATTTTTCCGAATATAGGTACATTTTCAAACATACATATGGTATTCCAAGATTGGTTAACACCAAAGTATTTATTAATGATTTATTAATAATAATGAAACTTGTATTTACACAAATAATGACCAAAGCTAATTATAATATTACTGACCCCAGGTGACATGTTATTGATAACACAACCGATACATGGAAGTATGTAAATGAAAGCTGACATACCATCAGGAAAGTGTTGTTAACTGCTTGGGAGATAAGATTTGGGCTGGAGGACACTGCCTTCAAAACAACATGTTTATGTGTGTGTGGGGGTGTTTGTGAGAAAGAGGGAGAGAGTATACTGGAACTCTTTGATGGTTTGGGCAATGTGGGCAAATGATGTAATTGAGGATCAATCTGTTAAAGCACAATAAAGAAGTAATGAATTATTTTATACAAAAGGATTGTCTATTCGGCTGCTGTGAAAGGAAGATGCTATCTTCAGTGAATTTCTAATATATATTTTTAAATATTTTTGTCTACAATAGCTTCACAATAAAATAGACCTAACACATATTCATTTTTACTTTCAGCGTAAACAGATTTAACTCAAAGTTCTCAATGCTGAGAATAAAACAAAGCAAGTGTTAAATCACAATCTGTGGATGGTAGATTAAAATATTGCTTCTTAAAATAAAAGTACAGTGCCAGAATTGGTACTGTGACTGTTCTTTCTCAAAAATGGGGAAAATTTTTCCTTACAAATTTAGTGGCAGTTTATTTATTTTACTTTTAAGAGAAGAATGTAAACTTTAGTTGAAAATTTGAAGGAAGCTACTATACGTCATGGCCATAGATATCTGTATTTGTGAGGAAAGTGAAGTGACATGGGAAATAAATCTAAAGTTAATAAAATGGGGCTTCCAGGTGAGAACTGAGGGTGGGTTAGACCTCCCTGTGAGCAGCTCTGCAAGCAGGGACAGCCTGCGGTGGAATTGCCAGCCAGAAGCCAGGTTCTGGCTGACAAAAATCTCTCCATAGAGAAGGAGAGATCTGGGGATCACCACTTGTGCTCTGGAAGAGCTGCTCCTTGCGAGGCGACCACAGGAATTGAGTTTCTTGTGGTCGATTGCGAGTTGAACGGCTTGGGAGCCGAGGGAATTTCAACATGCCCTTAATTGCTATGCAGCCTTTATGGACATCTGACTGGCAAAAGCTTCACTTTCTTAAATGCCTTTGGATTTAATTAATTTACAACCTAAGAGAGCTATTCCAAATGGCAGTGAAGATCAAAGACCCTTGTTGAGTTGCCTTCTTTTTGAAATTAAGAAGAGGGAAAAAACCCACTATTTTAAAGGATTTTAATTTAAAAGCAAAAAGCTTAACAATGTGATTCAAGAAAGTTTTAAATGGATAAAGGGGACAGTAGTTTTTAAAAAACAGAAGAAATAATTTTTTTCTGATGAAAGTCCCTTTGAAAATAGCAAAATCAATTAGACTAGCAGACAGGACTTTTGTGGGAATGATGACTGTTTATTATTAAGAACAGTAGATAATTGGCGGATTTTACAAAACAAGAAGATAAGGATAATATGAGTTAAACAGTGAAACTGTAACTATGGAGAGCGAATTGGGACTAAAGTACTAAAGACAGAGATAAACAAAACAGAAAAAAACAAGAGAAGCCTGCCTTTTATGTTCACCAAGTAATTGACATACTTTCACTTTCTCATAATGGCAACAACAAAAGCTGCCAAATTAGGAGGACAGAGGTTCACTAGAACAACTTACAGATAAGGCCATTTCACCAGATTTATTGCAGAAAATGTTTGAGGAATTTGACAAGAAGATGACTGCAATGGTTGCCAATAGTTTGGATTCTTTCCAAAAGGAAATGGAAGAAGGATTTGCAGGAATAAAAAAAGATGTGAAAGAAGTTAAGAAGATTGAAGAATTTGTAGGGCAACTAGCTGGAGACTTAAATTACTGACAAAGTGGAAATTTTGGAAAGTAAGACAGAAGTTATATACCGAAAGATGGAGAAAGATTTGGATGATTTGGCATTACTGGAGCTGAGAGAAAAAGAATTTTGTTTAAGATTTAGAGCAATTCTAGAACAATATGGAGAAGATATCAGAGAAAAGACTGTTCAGCTGAGGAGAAGGCAGCTACACTGGGCTTCTCTTGAGGGTCATGAGGGGAAGGCAAATGGCGCAAGCCTATATTATATGTGGAAAGGAAGGGAGGAATTCCCAATCTTTTTCCCACCTCCCTCTGGCCCCTGCACCCAATCAGCTGGCGGCAAGGCCCAACGGGTGAGTGGCGATTGGCTGCTTTAGAAACAAGGCCAAAATTTTAAATCTTTTAATGGCAGTGGACATTGAGGGAAGGATGAGAGAGCAACTTGAATGCCTGCTGGCGAGGTAGGGTTGGGTCAGGGGTGGGTGCCAGCAGTCGACAGGTGAGACCTCTTCCTCCCTGGAGGGAGGGGGCCCTTGGGGATATGCCAGAATGAGGAGCAGGGGTGCAGTTTTCCTTGCGGTCTTCAGCTCCCTTTGTTCCAACTCCTCCCAGCAAAGTGGCAGGCAGTTCCAAGGGTCAGCCAAGGAGGAGGAGGAGGAGGCTTCACCGGGGCTCTCCTGAGGGTTGTGAAGGGAGGACAAATGGTACAAGCCTATATTATATGAGGGAAGGGAAGGGAAGGGAAGGGAAGGGAAGGGAAGGGAAGGGAAGGGAGGAAGATTTATGAAGCTCCCTGCCAGCTTCCCACAAGCAAAGTTAATCGGGAACCCAGCATCAAGTCGTAAATTGCTCACACTCCCACTGATTTTTTGCCCTTGGTCATTTGTTTTTCTGTTTAGGGAAGGAAATCTCCCTGAAAAGATGACCCAACGGGCCACAGGTTGTCTAGTTTTATTATATGGGTAAGATTGATTTATACTTCTCAGAATGCACAAATAATTGTTAATGGAGAACTATCAAAACCTTGTGAGATTCAAAAAGGGACAAGACAAGGATGTCTGCTGTCTCCACGTTGTTCATTTTAATTCTTGAGGTACTGAATAGAGACATAAGACAATATGAGAGAATTATGGGAGTTAAGATTAAAAAAGAAACTTATGTTAAGAGCATTTGCAGATGACTTGGTGCTAGTTTTGGAAGAACCATTAGAGGTAGTAGAAACATTAATGGGAAAATTAAAGGACTTTGATATGTTAGGTTTTAAGATTAATAATCAGAAGACAAAGATGTTAACAAAAAATATGAAATTAGAAGATCAGATAGCTCTGATGGAGAAAACCGGTTTTAAGATTGAGAAAAAAATAAAATAGTTGGGTTTTTTTCCCCCCTGTTCAATCATGTCTGATTCTCAGAGACTGCCTGGACAAGTCCCTGCAGTAAGATTTCTCAGAAGTCATTTGCCGTTGCCTCCTTCCTAGGGCTGAGAGAACATGACGGGCCCAAGCTCACCCAGCTGGCTTTGTGCCTAGGTGGGACTAGAACTCACAGTCTCCTAGTTTCCAGCCTGATGCCTTAACCACTACACCAAGCTGGCTCTCATATTAATTACATACAATTTCAAAATAATTATGTGAAGACATGGAATGAAATTAAGAAGGACATGTTAAGATGGGAGA